CAGGCTGTCTGGTAGGTATCAGGGATGTAACAGAAGGAAAGAAGGAGATCTTCTTGATCTTCTAGGGACAAGAACCCCTTTATTCCTTTCCAAAATGGGTGGGAGGCTGCTTTAATCTGTTTGGGCTGCTATAACAAAATACCACAGACTGAGTGGCTTATAAGCAACGAAAATGTATATCTCACAGTTTTGGAGGTTGGAAGCCCAAGATGAGATTGCCAGAATGGCCAGGTGAGGGCCCTCTTCCAGGTGGCAGGTTTGTCTTAGCTTCACATGCTGGACGAGGTTAGGGAGCTCTGTGGGGTCTATTCCAGAAGGGCGCTAATCCTATTTATGAGGGCTCCACCTTCATGACCTAAGCACCTCCCAAAGGCCCCACCTCCTAGTACATCTCATTGGGCATTAGAATTTCAATGTATGAACTTTGAAGACTGTAGCAGGGCCCAAGTTCCTGCCTCTAGCATTTTCTTTCCAGCCTTCAGTCAGAAATCCCCATGCCTCCCTCCCAATGGTGCCCTGAAACCACAGGTATTAACAGGAGGCCTCAGAGAAACGATGAGCGTATATGTCACTTCTGCTGACCCATACGTTGAAAGTACAGAAACACATATGTACGCTAGTGCCCACAAACCCATGCATTCAGGGAAAGAGCGCAGAGAAGGATGTACTTGGAAGCAACATAGCCTTGCACCTCTCTGCCTTTGGAGTAATAGTGTAATGTAGTGTTTCAGAGCAAGAGCTTTGCAGCTGAATGCATCCTGTTTCTAACACTTCCTAGCTGAGTGATTTATCCTTTGTGTGCTTCAGACAATGGTGTCAAATTCAGAAGACTGTGGTAAGATTGAATGAGTGTGTAGGCATTAGGTTCTCAGAAAAGTGCATGGCACATATTTAGTGCTCAATAAATCCTAGATATAATACAGTGATAGTTTCCTTCGTGACTTAATCATCGTACAAACGGACTTCTCTCTGCTTTTATCAAAAACATAAGAGAATTTTATGCCCATAAAATGTCTTTTGGTAGCATTTTTGACAGGTTATTTTCTTCTCTGTTGTTTAATTGTTGAAAGCAAAAACACGCTGCTTATTAAGGAGTGGTCTAAATTTCAGTTGAGGAAGAAAGGCAGGCTCAGAACATTTTTAGCGCACAAACAATCCATTTTCTGTGATTGCTGTGCAAACATAATTGTTGGCAAAGCTCTCTAATTCCTGGCCTTCGTGTGGGTAAAAAGAACAGCAGCTTCTTTTGGACAAGTCGAGGCCGGGAATGCATAGAATTAAGATGTGGACAAGGCATGATTTCAGTATTTTTCTCTAGAGAACCATCTGAAGTGCCTACTTTGCAAACAAAGATGAAAATCTGAGATGTAGTTCTAGCCTGCCAATCTGCTCCCACTATAGAGGTTTCTACACAGTGGATGAAGGTGGGGCAGGATGACAAGGAAGGAGGTGAGGAACTTTTATCCTCACAGGAAGGGGACTCCTTGGACTTACATTATTTCTCCAACTTTCTCTACCCAAATGAATATTTCATCTTTGATTTATTAGAGTCGGAAATTTAATAAATCTTACTGGAATATGAAACAATGATTCAACATTTATTGAAAATGTAAATGTGATACTTAAAGGTACTTCTAGTCCTTGAGGTACCTTAAAGGTAATGTACCTTTATTCAAGGGAAAGCTTTGTTTCAGAGCTTTGTCTGAGTTTTTGACACCCCATCTGAGTGGTATTTAAATAAAAGTGAAATAGAAAATGCCCCTTAGGAAAAAATGGCCTGGTTTCAGCATTTCTCCTATATTAATTTGGAAGACTCATTTTAACATTGCCCCCAGGATGGTCTAAATTTCTCAGTCCCACACGCTGACCTCAATCCTTTCGGCGGCGTCTTCTACTTCATCTCTAAAGTGTCTCTACTTCCGTTATTTCTTTTCAGAAGGCAGTGAGTCCATAACATATTCATTCTGCAAGTCTTTGTTTCTGCTGTTTATTTGTTTTTAATCTATTGACATTTTGCACACTCCTCAAAAATAAGCTCTCTGGGTGATTTTCTGTGATTTTCCCACATCTGGAATATAGATGCTTCTTTGCTCTCTCAATTCTTTGTCCTTCATTTCATGCCTTTAGCTAATTTTGTTTTCTGTTTTAGCCACTTATCTGCACCCTTTGTAGCATCATAAACAGCTCTGTAGAGAAGAGTGTAAAATTTGTCTCAGTCATATTTGTATGCCATACAGTAGCATATATATGCAGAACTCAACAAATATCTGTAGAATTAATAAAACACAAAGACCAGGAAAAAAAAGTTCTCAGAAGTAGAGCATACTTTTCTCCTTTTCTTTTGCATGTCATCCCATCACCTCATGGCTATTTGGATTGCCACCCCTGTGTCTCCATATTTCTTGTAGGACAGGCCGATAATAGACACTTCTTGCTTAAAACACTTTAATACTCCTAATTGACCTTAGATCAGTGAGTGATAATTTGACCTTGGTAAGAGGAAATCCAAACTTTAGTCAGTGTCCTTCAAGATTGACCTATGCCAAGTCGCATGCCACTCCAAGTCGCATGGCACTTTATGACAACCATACTGAATTTCTCGGTGTCCCAGAAACGGTTTTTCTGCATGGAATGCTTGTCCATCTTCTACTGGCTAAATCCTCATCTACCAGGTTCAAGATAACATGTTTTTTTTTTCCGTGGAAAACATCCCTAGTTCCCTATACCATCTCCAGCCCCAGATGGGATTGAGCCTTTTTCCATTGTGATCTAATATATAAGAAAGATTAGGAAGACTTGGGTCAAGGCATCATTGTGCTTCTTACCAAGCAGTGACTTTAGACCAGTGCTTCTCACACTGTATCATGCATCAGAATCACTCACAGAGCTTGTTAATTCATAGCTGGGCCCCATCTCCAGAGTTTTCGATTCAGTAGTTCTGGGATTTGGTACTGAAAATTCGCATTTATAATGAGTTGCAAAGTGACACAGATGATGTTCTGGGGATCTAAGAACCCTGCTTTAGATCATTTATTTGACTTTTTCAAGCTTTTGTTTACCATCTGCAAAGTGAGGCTAACAGAAGTATTTTAAGAATTAGTTGAGTGTTTGACCTGAATTAGTACTCCATCAATGGCAAATAATATTGTCTCTATGTTATAATTATTTCATTACACTATTTGGCAGACTGAAGTGCCAAATAAAGAAGGAATTCCATGGCCCAGCTGGTGTGGCTCAGTGGTTGAGCATCGACCCATGCACCAAGAGGTGGACCAAATCTTCAGTGGGGAGCATGCAGGAAGGCAGCCAATAGATGTTCTCTCTTATTTATGTTTCTATCTCTCTCCTTTCCTCTCTCTCTAAAATCAATAAAGACAAAAATTATTTTAAAAAGAAGGAGCTCCATGGAAAGCAGAGACTACATTCATTTTCTTATTGTTGTACCACAGGTACTTCATGAAATGCATTGGTTAACACTAAAAAACATATAATGGAATAAATTCAAAGTAAAAGCATTCAATAAATAAGAAATGGCATGAATTCAGGGACTTCGTTATAGGTAGCCACTACACAGAATGTTCCAGGATTCCCCGGTTTAGCTTGCTGTATTCTCGGTTTTCCTAGGACTGTTTTTGCTGATCGGTTCCTAAGTTACTTTCGGTTTTGGTGAGTCAGTCCCCACAGCTTTTGTTTCAAGCAATACAAAGAACATTTTTCTGTAGGAACCAGAAGTAACCACCTGGCCTATTCATCTGGCTCTGTAGTCTTTCATACTGAATGAAAGCATTGCAGCCATGTGCTTTCTGTGTCTGCTGTGCCTCACTGTATGCCTGCAGTAAACACTGATGTGAGTTAGAAATTAACGTGAAGAATCTAATTTGCAGTGCTTTGTAAACTCATGACTCCTCTTTTGAGAAACCTTTTCTGCTTTGCCTGTCAGTTTCTACCCCATCCTCCTCTTTGATCTCAGATCATTATATTTTATATTCAATCATCAGTTCAGTAAATTTTTTCTCTATCCGTCATGTGGCAGGTATTGTGGTGACGATGCCACATAAGAAAAAGTTCTTGCTTCACAGAACCTAAGCATGGCATTAACAATTCGCAAGCTTCCCTGTCTCCCATGCCAAACTGTGGGCTTCCTAGTAGTAAGTGCACTGTTTGATTGATTTTGGGGTCTTCAGCTCAATATCTGATATATGATAGATATTCATACACATGGATTATTATTTACACAGAGAGACCCTCTTTGTTATATTGGTGCTTAAAAATGGAACTGAGAACCAGAGATCATTTTCCTTTAGTCCATGACATTATTTGGCACTAGATTATGTGCTATTTGACCTGCAAAGTATGTTTGTTTGAATTTCAATTAGGGCCATCCAATAAAATGTGGAAGGTTTTATGTAACATTTCAGATTTCCAGCTTCTTTCTTCCACCATTCAGCTGCAGTTAATTCCCACTCTGCCTGCCCTCTTTGCCACGACCCCTACCTTTCCCTGTCATATTACACAGGTGTGTATGTGTGTACTGTGTCATGTGTATTTGCATGGATGTGTGATGAGGAAATTCTTTAAATTCTACATAAATCTACCAAAAGTTTATCTTTACAAGTTTATAGCAACCTAACTCCAACATATTCCATTTTTTCTTTAGTGATGCAGAGTGCTAACAAGAATTTGCTTTCATTTGCAATATCTACCACATTGAGTCATCCATCTAAATTTTTCCAAGTTTTTTTTCTTTCTGCATTTTCACAGTAGATTTTCTCAATTAATTAGGTAGTTGCCAGCTCCTTTTCAACTGTAATGTGTATTTCAGTCCAAAGTAAAAATATATCTAAATCTATCTGGCTTGGGTTATTTTTCTACTTTATGATTTTTGAACTAACACTTTTCATTTGGCTTGGTTTTGTCATATGATATTAGCCCATTTAAGAACATAAAATTGAATTAAAATGAAAGTTTATCAAACTAAATATAGTCATGCTCTGTTTCAGCTATCCTTAAAAAGAAGAGGAAGCAAAGATTTGCCAAAATCTGAAAAAAAGACCCAACAGACTCCCACAGAGGTATGTGGAAATAAAATTTCTTTATATTTACATAAAAATGGACTTCCACCCTCTTTTTCTCTTTTCCCAAGATCTGAAACACCAGCTGCAGTTTGTGATTCCACCGTTGTCCTTTGCTACTTATTAGCTGTGTAATCTTGAACAAGTTACTGAACACTTTTAGTATTTATTCATAAGTTCACTCTGAACATTAAATTAGGTCAAATGTGTAAAGAACTTTACAGAATCTGGCTGAGTCCATAAATGGCACTGAGTGCATATTAACTATGTGTTTCTTCCAACGAATAGGTTTCATATTTATTACAGTCAGGGGAATTCAGACCACATTAAAAAAAAAAAAAAAAAAAAAGAACGTTGTTGAAATGACAGCCATACAGTTGTGTGCAGTTACAACAGATAATAATCTCTGAATAATGATAACCACAGTTTTTCTCTTTTTATATTACTTTCTCATTTTATTGCCAGTATGTAATATTGTCTTCATCTTTTATTTGCCAAAGAAGTAAAATGATTTGGAGAAAATATGTAGCATTTTCTCTCTCTCTCTCCCCCCCCTCTTTCCTCCCCCTTTCTCTCTCTCTAAAATCAATAAATATATCCTCTGTTGAGGATTTTTAAAAACTCTTAATCACAAGGAAAAGGAATAATTTGTACAGGTGTCCTTTTATGTTTTTCCTTGATTTGCATAAAAATGGTCTCCCATCCTCTTTCTCTCTTTTCTCTTTTCCCAAATGAGGAGGACAATGAAGATCTGAAATGCCAGCTGCAGTTTGTGAAAGAAGAAGCTGCTTTGATGAGAAAGAAAATGGCCAAGATAGATAAAGAAAAGGACCGATTTGAGCACGAGCTCCAAAAGTACAGATCCTTTTATGGGGATCTGGACAGTCCTCTGCCCAAAGGAGAAGCCGGCGGGCCTCCCAGCACCAGGGAGGCTGAACTCAAGCTACGGCTGAGACTGGTGGAGGAAGAAGCCAACATCCTGGGCAGGAAGATCGTGGAACTGGAGGTGGAGAACAGAGGGCTAAAGGCGGAACTGGACGACCTGAGGGGTGATGACTTCAATGGCTCAGCCAACCCCCTCATGAGGGAGCAGAGCGAATCCCTGTCGGAGCTGCGGCAGCACCTGCAGCTGGTGGAGGACGAGACAGAGCTGCTGCGGAGGAACGTGGCGGACCTGGAGGAGCAGAACAAGCGCATCACAGCCGAGCTCAACAAGTACAAGTACAAGTCCGGTGGCCACGACAGCGCGCGGCACCACGACAGCGCCAAGACCGAGGCCCTACAGGAGGAGCTGAAGGCGGCGCGGCTGCAGATCAACGAGCTGAGCGGCAAGGTCATGCAGCTGCAGTACGAGAACCGAGTGCTCATGTCCAATATGCAGCGCTACGACCTGGCCTCGCACCTGGGCATCCGCGGCAGCCCCCGCGACAGCGACGCCGAGAGCGACGCGGGCAAGAAGGAGAGCGACGACGACTCGCGGCCGCCGCACCGCAAGCGGGAAGGGCCCATCGGGGGCGAGAGCGACTCGGAGGAGGTGCGCAACATCCGCTGCCTCACGCCCACCCGCTCCTTCTACCCCGCGTCCGGGCCCTGGCCCAAGAGCTTCTCCGACCGGCAGCAGATGAAAGACATCCGCTCGGAGGCCGAGCGCCTGGGCAAGACCATCGACCGGCTCATCGCCGACACGAGCACCATCATCACCGAGGCGCGCATCTACGTGGCCAACGGGGACCTGTTCGGACTGATGGACGAGGAGGACGACGGCAGCCGCATCCGTGAGCACGAGCTGCTCTACCGCATCAACGCGCAGATGAAGGCCTTCCGCAAGGAGCTGCAGACCTTCATCGACCGCCTGGAGGTGCCCAAGTCCGCGGACGACCGTGGCGCCGAGGAGCCCATATCCGTGAGTCAGGTACAGTTCTGCCTATTGCGAGCCAGGGCGATGGCAAGGCTGGCCCGCGGAGCGGTCCCCGCTGGGGCGTCTCCGCGCACAGACTTCCACGCCCCGCTTTAGAGAAGTCCCAGCCCAGAGCCTCGCTGGGCTGGGAGTCTCACCGCGCACATGTCGTTCACACTGCCCTTCTTCAGGCCTGAGGTTTTCATCACCCCGTTACTTAGGAACTGCCACCCCAATGCTTAAAGGGAAACTTTATTCCCCACCCCAGTTTCCGTGTAAAGATGAAAGGATTTTAAAGATTTATAACTATCATTATTATTAGTCAACATTTGCAGTATTACTCCACTGATTCTAATAGACCGAGCTGCAAGAAGATCCCTAATAAGAATCTTCAATTGTTGATTTGCAGTTTTCGAGCCAAGATTCAAATTGAGTTTAAAAAAAAAAATTTTTTTTTTTTCAAGTTACTAAATTGATGTGCAACTACTGCTAAATGTAGAAGCCGGCAGAGAAAACAGACAACATTGTGTCTGGAGCTGGGCCAAAAGGAATAAATGAAAGCCTTTACCACAAGTTGAAGTAACATAATCATTGATTCTAGAGTATATCACTGTCGGCTCTGTAGTGGAGAATCTCAGGACTGGGGAAGGAGTGTTAGACTTGAACTTTCAGGCAATACTAATTCAGAGAAATAGTAATAACTATTCCCGAACAGGGAAAACCAGCATTTTTCCTTCATCCTAATTTGTAGAGGCACACCCGATGAATTGGACTGAGCTCCTCTAGCCAGGTATGATGGCCAAAGACCAATGCATTTTGTCAGTTAACCACCTAAGAGATAATTCATAAAACAAAGCAGGCAGTGCCACCCTCTGTGGCAAGCCTGGTATCCTGTATCCAATGGAGAACCGGCGGAAGTAGAAGCAGCATGCATGGCTTTTGAGACACACGAGAAGTTTAAATTTTAAAATCAGTTTGTACACAGAAGCATGACTGACATTAACTTAATGGTCTGTTAGTCCCAACTAGAAAAACCCCAACCCTATTGCTTATTGATCTTGCATGTTGCTCTGCTTGGCTATGGGAAACAAAAATAATCTTATGATCTTATGATAAAACTTCTTGAATTTTTTTTAATGTTGATGCTTATTCCTTCTATTTATTGTATCAAAAATTGGGTTTCAGTTTCCTTGTTAGAGCTTTTTGGATACTTTGAGCATGTGATTTTTCAGTTATATTCTTGGGGGCGGGGGAGACATCAGAGTGAGAGAAAGCACTGTGTATAGTACCAGGCTTTCAGATTTTTTAAATAGAGGCATATGGGAGGGTTCTGCTTTATCTGAAGTTGAATGCTTAGATTAGTTTATATAAACTTATGTTTTTAAAAGTATTATTAATTAACTCTTCTCTTTGTCTTTGCATTTACCTTCCCAGATGTTCCAGCCTATCATTTTACTTATTCTCATTCTTGTATTATTTTCATCACTTTCTTACACAACAATATTTAAACTTGTCTTCCTTTTTACACTGTTTTTTGTACTGTAAATCTTTCATCATTTCCCATTCATTGTAGTATTTTCAGTTTGTTTATTTTGTTCATCCTTCAAGACAAGAAGTAAAAGAAGTATAATTTCTGTAGTAACCAATGCTATAAAAACACTGAAGACTGCTTACTTTCTTTAAAAAGATCCATCTTACCAGTACCAAATTCAATAAGAAGCCCAAGCACTAAAATATTTCAGGTAAGGAAGTGTGACATTTTTTATAAATCATTTTAATTTGTGCTTCTGTCTTCTGCATCTTAATTTATATCCTTCTTGATAAATAATTGGCAGAGTGAATATAAGAATTGGCTAAAACTCTCAGCTATATTCTCAGTAGTTGACTAATGACCATTCAAAAGCTAGACATTCACACTTTGGTACATTTCCAACAACTATGTAGGTGTATAACTAACTACCTTTGCTAGTTACATCAGACTAACAGGATAATTTTGATATCCAATAATGTGACCCTCATGGAAACTAATTCATTGCAATGTTGATTGTGTTCTGTTTAAAAAGATGTGTTTTGAAGCATGAGAGTGGATTAGGCCTTAGTTCTCTGAGAAAGTAATTATCCCCATCCTGCTGCATTTGACCAGGTTTCAACCAGACCAGCATTGCTGCATGTACCTTTACACTTGGAGCCAGAAGCTGAGCCATTTTCCCTTGTCCTCAGATAAGGAGAATGGACAGCATTCCCGAGGTAAACTCCCAGGGCACATACCTCCCAGCCAGGTCAGAATAGGCTTTCTTGCATCAGAACAAAGAAATCACAATTAACAGAGCGAGGACGTTTAACATTTCTTCTAACTATGGCTAGTACTCCACTAAGATGAGTTCTCTATTCTGTTATTCCCTCCCACCCCTTTCATCCTATCCTCTAATATATGGTCATGTAGAGCTGCTTCCAGAGCAGGAAATATACTAGAATTATAATATGTGAAGCCTTTTGAATAAGGAATATGGTCATTCTTTAGAATTTTATTAAGTTACAATCCACAGCCAGTGGTCTAGTTCCAATAGGGATTACTCTGTAGACATAAACTTACTTTGCTGAAGTAACTTACTTCCCTTTCTATCTCAAGTGGCCTGGATAGGCTCCTTGTGCCCAGAAGACCCTGTTAATCCATCTCGTTGGCACTTTACCCAGTGGGAAGGAGGAATAGCCAGTGCCACCGACGATGCAGAAATCATAGCACTCGCTGAAGTCACATACCTGGAGGTGCTCTCAGTTTGGTTGGTGGAGATGAAAATCTGTAGTCAGGTATCTTGCATCTCAGAGTAAGGAATAAGCTTTGCTCTGCTGTGGAAGTTGGTCCTGATAACAGACTTGTAACCTCATACCCCAGTGCCTCCTTTTTCCTTTAAGTATGAATTTTTAAAAAAGAAAAAAATGAAACACTTAACAGTGGTTGAAAGTTCAGTTTAAAATAACTGCTCTTAATCTCCATGTTGTTGTTGGTTTTCTCCTTGGCTTTTATTGCATTTTGGTTTGGAGGGGAGGAGAGGGGTGGAGTGAGGAGTGGTTAACCAACAGTTGGCATCTGTCACTATGTTCCTCTGGCTTTTCATCTTGGAGATTCCAAAGGCTAGGTAGAACTTCATGACAAAAAGAAGTGGAAGAAACTTGAGCTACATTTGCTCAGTTATCCAAGCATTTACTTTTTTTTTTTTTAATTCTCACCCTAGGATATTTTCCCACTTATCTTCAGATAGAGTAGGGGGGGGGGCAGAGAGAGAGAAACATCGATGTGAGATAGACACATCAACTGGCTGCCTCCTGTGTGACCCCGACCAGGGCCGGGGACTGAACCATAACTGCAGTACGTGCCCTTGACTGGAATCGAACCTGTGACTCTTTGGTCCGCGGGCCCACACTATAACTGCTGAGCCAAACCAGCCAGGGCCAAGCATTTACTTTTTAAAACATTTTATCTCAGGGAAAGCAATCACCTTAAGAAACAAAATCTGTTTGTTGGATCTCTGATAAGTCTCCAGAACAGAGAAACTATGTTGGCAAAAAAACTGAAAGCAAATGTTTGAGGGCTGGAATTTATCTGAAATATGTATCACCTTTGGAGCAGATCCACCCAGCTAAGCAGTGATTCTGTTACCTGCAAACATCTGCTAGTATATGGAGGTCTTCTGGGTTGTCACATGACTGAGAAGCTCTTTTGACATTTACAGGAAAGGGGTCAGCATTTCAAATAATCGTCCTGCTCAAACTGCTGATATTGTCCCTGTGGCAAAATGTGGTATGCAACGCACTTTTCACTGCTCAAGTACCATGGATATTCACTACGCTGTGCATATGTTTAAGAAACTGGCTTCAGCATTTTACCTTTTTGAGAGGAATCAGGAACTAAATATCTAGATCAGTGGTTCTCTACCCTGGCTGCACATCTGAATTCCTGGGATGTTTCTAGAATTGAGGCCCTACCTTACACTAATTGAAAATGAATGTACGGACATTTATATTTTTTGAAATTCCCGAGAACCACCTCTTTAGATGTTTGAATTGTCTAAAATATATATACACAGCCTATACCAAGGTTCCAGTAACCTATGTGGTAATAACTCTATGAAATCATTGGTTGTGTAGGTGTGAGTGGACCTTCAAGTTGCAGCCATTCAGCAAATGTCTTCATATCCTCTCTAGAGCATTTCCCACCTTTGTCACACAGCCTCTGCCATGGCAGAGCAGTCCCATTTTCTCACTGGCGATGGGTTCGAAAACTCTCCTTTCATAACACAGGTTCTTGAAACCAACAAAATCAAAGACAAGTAGGAATATTATATGAGAGAAAGGAGAACCAGGATACATAGTGCGTGTCCAGAGCCACGCGCACACGGAGATAGAGGCACGTGTGCACTCTGAACGAAATTCTCAAGGTAACACCACATACACTCACAGCTTCACAACGCACCCCTTTGTCGCCTTTGTCGTTATATACTTACCTCTGCTAGAGAGCTCCTCTTGTTTATTAAAAAAGTGGACGTGGTATCCCACAGATCCACCTGGAAGGATGGATGCAACTGACTCTACCCTCCACAAGGTAAAGGGTGTACACAAGAGAGGAGGGGGAGGAGCAAACAAGGGAGCGTGGATCCTGTCTATTTAGCAAATATTTCGAAGTATCTGCTATATTCAGTATAGAGGAAGTGAGATTCAGTGTCTACTCTTTTAGAGCCTTCAGTTGGTTGATAGAGCAGGACAGACATGTAAACAGCTAATTCTAACATGTCCTGTAATGGATTGCAAAAAAAGTCTTGTGGTTATAATTTACTGTTTAATGGGCTCCTAATAGCATGTTAGATTTAAAACACACACACACACACTAAAAGTCATAGGCATTTTGGGACCGAATGATACCACAAATACATTCAGGGGTGGTATATATACGTAAGTGATATTTTGTGACCTAATTAGAAAGGATTGGCTGATCAAAGGAGGTCTGGGATAACTGAAACACCAGCCTCATCTTCAGATCTCTTGTGAGGGATTTAGGTCATCCTGGCAGCAGGGGTATTAATCTCACCTATGAACTCTTAAAGCACTGATCTTATAGAAGAATTTTATGAGAATCGCAGACTCTACCAAGGCCCCCAATATATGGAACCCCAGTAAGATACTGGGCAGGGGAAACAAGACTCACTTCCCTACTGCTCACAAATGCTGGGAGTTTGGGGGTCACTCTGACAGCTCTTCTGAAGTTAGTGAGACAATTTTACTATATAGTCTAAATCCAGGGAAGCCCTCTCCAACCCTGCCCCACCCATTGCGTAGATGGCTTCCTAGTTTGCGCCTGCGTGCACACCCCCACCTCTACCGCACTGCAGTGTACAATGAGCGATGCACCCAGCGGCAGGAAATTCAGACCGGCCTCTATCTTAGGGGACTGCACCTGCTGGGGGCCAGTAGTTGGACGGTGGTCTCTGCAGTCGGCCAGCAGGCGTGAAGTGAACTTGTTTTTTGTTTTATTCTCGCTGGAACCTCAGCTCTTTTGCAGACACCCAGGATCTAGGGTGCATCTCTTCCCTACACCTCAAGGTGCAGGCTTGGGAAGAGAAGTTAACAAAGACTAGAGGCCCACCACCTCGGAAAGAATTTCTGTCCTCTTCTTTGATCCTGTTACTTGTGTTATCTTTATTGTAGAAACCTAGTTCTAAAATAAGAACACCCAGGCTTGGTTCAAGAGAACACAATCTCCTGATTATTGAAACAGAATTTTCTCCTATTTGTATTTTGGAGCTGTGCTATTTAAACATCATGTTGAAAAATAAATTCAAGCCAACCAACCTTATTGCTGAAAATGTCCTTGAAGGCACATTCTTGGGTGTAGGAAGAAATGTCTTTGGTAATTTGGCCTAATTTCAGGGGAAAAAAAAATTCAATTGACTATTTTTAAGCATAACCAACTCAAATCATAACACAAAGGGAAGTTTGGAACTGAGCCTGGAGTGTGTGCATTGGCTGCATTCCCCAACTTTCACACCAGTGTGTGTGGCAGAGAGGCATACGGCTGTTCAGCCAGCTGCCAGTGAGGTTTGCAATGTCCGTTCAGTAGCTCAGCCTTAACTTCAGACACTCATGCAGTGTTTGTAGCTATATTGTTCCAGAAATACAGCCCACTAGCATCTGGTAGAGGCATGCGTGGGGTCAGATACCCTAACCGAAGGCAAGGACTGCAGAGAAAGTGGCGGAGGATGTCATCAGAAAAGGAGGAAAGTTCTGTTCATTAAACTGAGCTGTGGCACAGTTCAGAGAGAGTATTTGTGAAGACACTATGGCTTAAACCCTAGTTAGAAGCCAGTTAGGTCTAATAGAAAGTAGTTTTGCTTCTGTTTGTAATTTTGATTCAGCTTTTAGGAGGTGAAGGGATTGCATACACATTTTTTTATTTTTTTTATTTTTATTTTTTATCCTCACCCGAGGATATTTTTCCATTTTTTGTACAGATAGAGTGGGAGGGAGAGAGAGAGAGAAACATCGACGTGAAGGGACACATCGAGTGGCTGCCACCCGCACAACCAACCAGGGCCGGGGACAAACTGCAACCGAAGTACGTGCCCTTAGCGGGAACCGAACCCGGGTCTCTCCGGACCGCAGGCCGACGCTCCAACCGCTGAGCCAAACTGGCCAGGGCTGCATACACATTTTGATGAAACTAATGTTTCCTGAGTAGGTCCTGGTATTT